AGGATTCAAATGAGTTGTCAAATTTGTAAAGAATAAAGGTTTCTCGGAGTGTAGCAGAAGGGTGACAGTCAGTGAAAGCTGAAATGAGGGTATCCTCCTGGAATTAGGGAAGCGTTTGCCTATACTATGCAACAAATATTCCTAGCGAGCACTTTTTGATTTATTGATAAAGATGCCTTCATTCAGGTTCGCTGGAATTTGCGCTGAAGAACAACCATTCGCCGAGGCAACCAGCGAGCCTGGTCTCACTTTCATTGCCGCGAAATTCGACGGAATCCTTGGCATGGCTTTCCCGGAGATCGCCGTTCTAGGTGATTCCTAGTGTTCTGTTTTTAAATGCTAAACTGTTGTGGAACTATGCTATTTTGAACCTCGTCAATCTCCCTATTTGATCAGTGACTATGCAAGCTAGCGCTAAATCACTGCATGCAAACAATATGGGTAAGCAAAACCGCCACCTTGAAAGCGGAAAATATACGCAGAAAATGATTTTCGCCTGACAAGGGGTTGCAAAAAAGCGCTCTGTTTCTTACGGCCGGGCATGTCGTAAATGCGTATTTCTCAACACGCCTTGCACCAAATATCATCAAAAGCATCCATAACTACACGCTATCGATTTTTTCAAGGTGTTGCCTCGTGTACTATGACACTAGGTCCGCACTCAAACCATACTTTGCCGCAAAAAAGTCTACTTTGATCAATGATCAGTATTTAATGCAGGGCCTTCTTTGAAGGGAGAGGGCGGGAGGGAGGAGGAAGGAAGCACAAAGGAATAGCTCACGCCTAGTTTGCTATAGTTTGTCGGGGTTACGGTAGCTCCCAATTCGGCATGGGGTCCGGTATCTTGGGGTGGGACAGGCATTTTCATTCACCCCAGAGTCCTCATTCCACTCCATTATTCTACTCCTAGTCCCTTATTCTTAGGCCCTTTTTGGTGGCATGTATTCAAATAAAATATGAATGATAATTATAAATTTGTAAAGCAGAGAATTTCACGTAATATTCTTCAGGAGTGTCGCCCGTGTTCCATACCTTCGTCCAGCAGAAGAAGGTCCCCAGTCCAGTCTTTTCTTTCTGGCTGAATAGGTAAGGAAAAATTCAGACTCATGCAGAATAGCACATTCCGCGTTAGCAAAAACGAGGTCAATACGGGGTTCAAGCATGGAACTGAGATACTAGCTGAATCGCCAAGGATGAGAAAGGATAAAAACCAATAAAGAGAACCTGAACAGTTCTCTTTTCTAAGCTGTGTGAGAGTCTAGGAGACAAAGAACTCGAGGGATATTGGGTCTAGAAGCAAGTGAACGACATCCGGTGACAAAAGATGTGGTGGGGACACATTCCACGACGAGGTGGAAGGTCGAAGAGGGGGAAGTTACTCAGTGGAAGGATAGGCAGGCCTCCTGAGCTTGCGGACCGACACGCAACCAG